CGACCTGTAGTCTGCCATGTGGGAGTCCAGAACCTCAACCACCATACCACCTGCTGGTGCCCCCATTACTACTTTTTTAAAGTTTATTTCCTTTGAGAGAGAGAGAGAGAGAGAGAGACCCCTGATCAAGTCCCATTATCCCATTTTTGATTTGATAAATATGAAAATTCACCTAATTTACTTAGGTCAGTTCTTCCTTTAGCTTCAATACATGGTGATCATGCCTAAATCTGTGATATGTTTCCTCATAATCCTTCATTCGTTCATTCAACAAAGATTTATTGGGACTACTATGTGGATACTTCAAAAAGTTCGTAGAGGAGCCAGCAAGTGGCATGGTAGTTGGGGGCGCCAGACTCCCACATGGCTGACCATGGTTTGAGTCTCAGATCTGGTGACTTGCTTTCTCACTTTCTCTCTCTCTCTGTGTCTCTCTCTGGTCAAATTAAAATAATAATAGTAAAATAAAATTAAATTAAAAAATTCTTTAATTTAAAAAGTTCATGAAAAATGGAATTATAGTACAAATTTATTTTAATACAAAAAATAAAAAATTCATGCAATTGTTTCATAATATGTGTTTTTCATGAAGTTTTTGAAGATCCCTCATGTGTATGATAGGTACTATGCTAGGTAATTAGGGTAGAGAAATGAAGATAAAAACATAATCATTGCCTTCAAAGCAACCCATGGGGGGCCAGCAGGTGACAATGGTGGTTAAGATGCTGGCTACCAACATGGCCAACTGTGGTTTGAGGCCTGGACCTGGTGGCTTGCTTTCTCACTTTCTCTCTTTTTCTGTCTTTCTCTGGTGAGTGAATGTGCCCTATAGCAAATAAAATAATAATTATTATTATTATTAATAAAATTAAATAAATCTTTTAAAAATTGATATACTTAAAAACTTAATTTTGTTCTTTTTTTTAAAAAAATTAATTGACAATAGGTAGATGTGCTTATTTTAAAATCCAGAGAGTCTGATTCAGAAAGGTTAGGGTGGGACCTATAGCATTTGCTTCTTTTTTTTTTCTTTTTTCTAGAATATGCCTTTAAAATAAGTACCCTTGGGGCCAGGAGGTGGCATGGTGGTTAAGGGCACTGGACTCCCACATGGCCGACCACAGTTCGAGTCCCGGACTTGGCAACTTGCTTTCTCACTTTCCCTCTCTTGCTTTCTCGCGCTCTCTCTCTCTGTCCCTCTCTGGTCAAATTTTTAAAAAAATTAGTAAATAAAGTTAAATAAAAACAATTCTTCAGAAAAAAAAAATTAATTGCCAGAGGGTGTGAGCCAGAGTGATAGAGAGACAGAGAAGGGCTAGGGAGAAAGCATCCCCCACACACAATGGGGTATGGTCATGTAGAAATCCTTCCTCTTCCATTTCTCCTTTCTGCTGAGATTTTTGGGTATGCACACACATGTGCCTAGTGTATTTTTCAAGCTGCTGGGGCTGGGACTTGAATCACATATCAGTCATATGGGATCCAGCTCCCTTAACCACTAGGTCTTGGGGCCTGTCCTTGTTCTTTGTTTTCTTTTTTTAATTGCCATAGAGTGTGTGTTTCATAGAGTGTGTGTTTTCTTCAGAGAGAGAGAGAGAGAGAGAGAACGCACACCCAGTAGGGCCTGATCATGTCACAATCTCTTTTTCTCAATTCCTTCAGCCTGTCGAGATATGGGGCATGCATACATATGTGCCTAGCACATTTGTCAAGCTACCAGGGCCAGGATTCAAACTAGAGTTGGTCAGCCATGTGAATTTGACTCCCTATGTTCAGGGCTTAACCACTACACTACAGGCTAGCCCTAGTTATATGTTCTTGAGTAACATTGGATCCTAGATCATAGCATTGTAAACAAGGAATCTACTTTTATGCTTTCATTTTTGTTTGTAGAGATTTTTGTCTTCATTGTGTGTGCTTGTCGGAGAGAGAGACAGAGACAGTGAAAGGGAAAGTAAGAAATCAGCCCCGAGGAGGCCATGTCACAATCTCTTCTCCTCCATTCTCCTCCCAGGATCTTGGGCACACATGTATACATGCCCGGCGTAATTTTCAAGCCACCAGGTCTGGGACCTGAACTGTGGTCAGCCATGTGAGAGTCCAGCAACATAACTGCTATGCCATCTGCTTGTCCCATACCTTTATGTTTTCTTAAAAAATACAAAGATCAAAAATGAAAGTGATGTATGATAAAAATCCAAAATAAAGCTCTCACTTACAAGGAAATGCTTAGCATAGAACCATTTATCAGGCATATGAAAAGATTCGTAAATGTGCACAATACCGTGTAACCGGGTCTGCCCGCTGCCATCGTCTTTCGCTACCATCTCCACTGACTTATAATCTTCAAAATGGGCTAGTGTTTCATTGGAGGATTTCCATTCTAGCATGAGTGAACTGAAATTGTCAAACTTTCTCCTGTGTTGATCAAACACTGTCAATTCTAGGATTGTGTCCCTCAGACTTGATACAGGAATCTGCATTAAAATAAAAAGTAATGAAAGAGAAAAACAAACAAACAATAGCCTAAGAGGTGGTAAGCTATCCCTGAAGCTAGACATCATTCTTTTAAGATGTTTACTTTGATAATCTGCAAACCTGTAGATATGTTGAAATAAAAGTATAATGCATACCTACTTACGCCTCACCTGGATTCACCAATTTTTTTTTTTTTTTAATTTGCTATAAGGTGTGGCATTCACCAGAAAAGACAGAGAGGCAGAGAAAGTAAGAAAGCACCCTCTGGGGAGAAGGCAACACTCCCTTCTCCTTTTTTTTCTTCTCAAGATTTTGAACACACTTGCACATGTGCCTAATGTGTGTGTGTGATTTTTAAAAATTATTTATTTAATTTTATTTATTCATTCATTTTTTAAATTTTATTTTGACCCAAGAGAAACACAGAGAGAGAGAGAGAGGGAAAAAGGGAAAAGTGAGAAGGCAAGCCATCAGCTCCGGGACTCGAACCGTGGTCAACCATATGGAAGTGTCCAGTGCCTTAACCACCACACCACCTGCTGGTCCTACAATGTGTTTTACAAGCTGCTCAGTCCAGGACACAAACCATGTAGTAGGCCATGTGGGATCCAGCCACCTTAATCATGTGCCACAAGCTGGCCCTGGATTTATCAATTCCTTTTTTATTTCCTTATAAGAATTATTTAATTTTATTTGTTATTATTTTGTAATTTGACCAGAGAGGGAAAGTGAGAATAAAAGGACATAAACCATGGTCAACTATGTAAGAGTCCAATGCCTTAATCACTACTCTTCTGGACCCTGGATTTACCAATTCTTTTTTTTTTTTTAACAGAGATTTTTGCTAGAGGGTGCAGGGGGGATAGCCATGCCACTATCCTTTCTCCTCCATTCTCTTCTCGGGATTTTGGGCATGTCGGGCATGTATGCACATGTGTCTGGCTTGAGTTTTTTAAAAATTATTTATTTATTTATTTATTTATTTTTAAACAAGTGATAGAATGAAAATTGAAGGTGCACAATGTAATGTAATTTTTTTTTGAGAGTTTTTTTGCTATAGGGTGCGTGCGCTCGCCAGACAGACAGAGACATAGAGACAGAAAGCGAGAAGTCACTCCCCAGGGGGGATGGTCACGCTGCAATCCCCTCTCCTCCATTCTCCTCTTGGGATCTTGGGCATGCACGCACACGCACCTGGCGTGAGTTTTAAACCACCGGGTCGGGGACACGAACCGCAGTCGACTACGTGGGAGTCCAGTGACATAGCCATTACGCTAACTGCTGGTTCCCCCTGGCTTGAGTTTTAAGCTGCTGGGTCCGGGACTCAAACTGTGGTTGACTATATGGTAGTCCAGCGACATAACCATTATGCCATCTGCTGGTCCCGGATTTGCCAATTATTTTTTATTTTTTTGGAAAGGTTTTTGCTATAGTGTGCGTGTGCTCGCCAGACAGACAGAGAGAGACAGAGAGATAGAAAGTGAGAAATCATCCCCCAGGGAGGATGGCCACGCCACAATCCCTTCTCCTCCATTCTCCTCTCGGGATCTTGGGCACGCACGCACACGTGCCCTGCGTGAGTTTTAAGCCACTGGGTCCGGGACGCAAACCACGATCGACTAGGTGGGAGTCCAGCGACATAACCATTATGCTAACTGCTGGTCCCGGATTTGCCAATTATTAACATTTCATTACATTTGCTTTCTTGCTCTTCCTTTCTCACTGTCCATATATGGGAGGGAGGGAGTTGTTTTCTGAATGATGTAGGCATCATGGCACTTTACCCCTAAATATTTCAGCATGCATTTCCAAGGAATGAAAACAGTCTCCTATGTAAGAAAACAATGTTATCACATAAGAATATTTCATTTATTTTTTTAATTGCCAGAGGAAACATATTGACTAGAGAGAAGACAGGGCAGAGAGAAAAGGGGAGAAAGGACTTCTTAATGGGGCATGATCACACTACAATCCCTTCTCCATTTCTCCCTCCTTTTGGAATATCAAGCACACATGCATATGTGCCTGGTGCTTTTCCATCCACTGGGTCTGGGACTTGAATCATGTGATTGCCCATGTGGGATTCAGATTCCTTAACCACCAGGCCATCAGTTGGCCCAATGTTACTTATTTATAATAAAAGATCTAGAAGGGAAAGATATGAGCAAAATTTTTGGAAGTTATTCAGAGAGAAGTCAATCATCTATTGTCAGGACCAGCATATGGTGTAATGGTTACGTCACTGGACTCCCACATAGCTGACTGCAGTTCAAGTCCCCGACCTAGCAGCCTGCAACTCACACCAGGTACATGTGAGTGCATGCCCAAAATCCTGAGGGGAGAATGGAGAAGAGGTTGTGGCATGGCCAGACCCCTGGGGGATGATTTCTCGCTTTCTGTCTCTCTGGTGAGTGCACATGCCCTATAGCAAAAATCTATTTTAAAAATATCTATTTCTATAATCACAAGCTGACTACATACCTGAGTATAGTCATCAATGTCATGTCACTAATGGGTAACCAATTTTTTTTTTAAGAGAGATTTTACTATAGGGTGCATGTGTTCACTGGAGAGATAGAGAGAAAGACAGACAGAAAGTGAGAAATCACCCCCCCCCAGGGGGGATGACCACGCCACAATCCCTTCTCCTCTTGGGACCCTGGGCATGCAAGCACATACGCCCTATGTGAGTTACAAGCCACCAGGTTCAGGACTCAGACCACGGTCTATTACCTGGGAGTCCAGGAGTCAAGTGATATAACCATTATGCCATCTGCTGATCCCCAAGGGTAACCAATTCTAACCTAGATCAATCACCTTTTCTTATACAACATCAGAGAAAGAATAAGAAATAAAACAGTTTACTTAATTTAATTTTTAAAAAAGATTGACTTATTTAATTAATTTTTTTATTATTAATTTTTAAATTTGACCAGGGAAAGACGGAGAGAGAGAAATGGAAAGTAAGAAAGCTAGCACCAGGTCCAAGACTTGAACCACAGTCAACCATGTGGGAGTCCAACACCTTAACCACCACATCACGTGCTGGCCCTCAATTCCCTTAATTTTAACAAAACAAAAGCTGTATCTTGACCCTTTATCTCTAAAGCAAGAAAGACAAAAGTGCTCAGTTAGTTGGAAACATACTTTGTACTTACCAGTTGTTTGTTGTGCTGTGGCAGAGGACACGGCTGAGCACCAGCTGGAACCTTATATACTGGGGTTACTGACATACTGGCAGGGTGGGCACATATGAAGTGTACTTGCACAACCTCTACAGCTGGACTAGGGTTCAGGACTCCTGGGTGATTTCCAATTCGGAATGTAAGAACCTTTAAGGAAATACCAGAGCAAGAGGTAATTAAGAATAGATACATGAAGTCAGCCTGCCAATCTAAATTCATTAAATTATTCAAATACCAATATAGAGTCCCTTTGGACATTATAATCAGGAAAATTCCTTAAAGATTTGGATAAATGTTAAAGGCTAAGGGTACTAATATCATTGGAATTTGAAAACAAATGGAACATTGAAAAATCTAATTTTGGGGGTCAAGAGGTGGCAGGGTGGTTGAAGAGCTGGACTCCCACATGGCCAACCCCAGTTTGAGTCCCGGACCTGGCA